TAGAAACCCTAACTAAGGCAGTGGGGTGGGGTTTTTAAGTTATACCCTTATGAGTCTCTGGATTTCCTTGGTGTCTATTGCTATGTCTTCCTTTTCATCTCTAATGTTCTTAATTTGGATAATCTCTTTCTGCCTTTTGCCTAATTTGGATAAGGGTTTGCCAGTCTTACTGATTTTCTCAAAGAACCAACTCTTTATTTAACTGATTCTTTGTATTGTTTTTGCTTGTTTGTTTGTCTGTTTGAAAATATTTTAAACCCTGAATTTGATTATTTCTTGTCATCTACTCCTTTTGTGTGTGGTTTCTTCTTTTTGTTCTAAAGATTTCAAGTGTGCTGTTAAATTACTAGTGTATTGGCTTGGAACCAGAAAGACCAAGTTCTCAGCACAAAAGGAGATTTATTGGCCCCAGAGAAACAGAGAAACAGAGAGTAGGGGATAAGAAACAAAGAAGACAGGGGAAGAGTGAGAGGGGAAGGGAACAAAGGAGAGGGGTTAGGGCGATTTGTTCTGGGGTGGGCGGCGCAGGACAAAGGACTGTCTCTGGTTAGAGAGGCAACAGACCTAGCACATAGGCAAATGGCATTTTATAAAGGTAAAATGGGAAGCCCGGTGTTAGGAGAAGGTGTTTAATTTTAATTCCGGCATGTTAATTAGGTGAGCCAAAGGGCCTTTTGATTGATACTTTGATAACTGGACCTTGGTAGTCAGCCTCAGGAGGAGGAAAGGGCCAGATAAGGGAATGGACTTTGAGGGTTGGCTTTAGCTACGTAATCTCATGGTTTTCAGCGAGGCAGAGGCGGGAGGGGGAGGGGCAAGGCCTGCTAGAGCCTTACCTGCCACACTTGAGCGCATACTTCAACTAGTATGCGATTACTCCAGGCACTTAGTGCTATGAACGGACCTCTTAGAGCCACCTTCACTGTGTCCTAAAAGTCAGGCTATGTTGTATTATCATCTTCATACAATTCTAGAAAATCTTTAATGTTTTTCCTAAATTTTCTCTTGACTGATTTGTTATTCAGTAGTGAGTTAGTTGTTCAGTTTCTACTAGTTGGTAGGCTTTCTCTTGTTTCTGTTGTTGATATGCTGTTGAGGTGGGGTTTTTTTGTTTGTTTGTTTTTGGGGGGGTTTTTTGGTTTTGTTTTTCTGTTGCTGTTTTATTTTGTTTTAGAGTCAGGGCTTCTCTGTGTAACAGCTCTGACTGTCTGGAACTTACTCCGTAGATGAGGCTAGCTTCTGCCTCCTGAATGTTGGCATTATTGGGATGTGTGTAGGTGTAGGTGTGTGCCAGCACCACCCGGCTAATATCCAGTTAGATAAATGCAGGGAGTCATTTCAGTCTTTTTGTATCTGTTGAGACTGGCTTTGTGTCCAAGGATGTGGTCAGTTTTGAAGAAGGTTCCATGAGGTATGAGAAGAACGTGTATTATTTTGTGTTTGGAAGAAATGTTCTGTAGATTGTAAACCAAATGTTAGGTCTACTTGGTCTATAACATCAGTTAGCTCCAGCATTTCTCTGTTTGATTTTGTCTGGATAACTGTCCATTGCTGACAGTTAGATATTGAAGTCTTCCACTATCAGTGTATGGGGTCAATATGTGATTTAAGTTACTGTAGTGTTTTTGGTTTTTTGTTTTGTTTTTAAGATTTTGGATTCCCCTGTGTTTGGTGCATAGATGTAAAGCACTAAATATACAGAACAAACCAGGCAGTGGTGGCCCATGTCTTTAATCCCAGAGCCCAGGAAGCAGAGACAGGCAAATCTCTATGCGTTTGAGGTCAGCCTGGTCTACAGAATGTGTTCCAGGATAGGCTCCAAAGCTACAGAGAAACTCTGTCTCAGAAAACCAAAGAATAACAACAAAAGGAAAAAAAAAAAAACCATACAAAACAAAGAAAGAATAGTCAAAGTTACAAGGCCAGCCTGAGTCATGTAGTGATTACATGCCAGTCAGGATAGAAGGCAAGACCTTGGTTCAAAGCCACCTTTAAAATAAAAAATAAAAGACAGGGTTTTTTTGGTAGCCCTGGCTGTCCTGGAGTTAGTGTAGGCGAGGCTGGCCTGAACTCACAGATCTGCCTCTCGAGCGCTAAGATTAAAGGCGCGTGCCGCCACCCCTGGCCTTTATTTATAAATTTGATAGCATTGTGCTCGCGGAGTGCACCTGCAATCCCAGCACCCGGGAGGCCGGGCTTAGAGAGGCTGAGCTCCCCCAGGTAAAGAGCTGCAGTTAGCTGGAGAAAACAACCCAGACTTAGAAAAAAAAACAAAACAAAATAAACAAATAAAATAAGATATACAGTAGCCAGAGATAATCTGTTATATTGAAATGTAAGAGTCAAATTGTTGCTTTTTTTTAAGTTGTTTTTAAAGGTGGTTTTGAACCAAGGTCTTGTGGGGGCCCACAGAAGTGGGTCTGCTCAACCCTGACTGAAGGTCGGAGAGGTTAAGCCTACACTGCTCTTTCAAAGTTCTTAACAAGAGATCTGACTTAAGGAGAGGCTACAAACAAGAGATCCTGACCTAGGGTGTGGTTACTTGGTGTTTTAGTTATTAAGATGGCCCAGAGAGGTGGATCTGCTCCACCTTGACCAAAGGCCAGAGAATTAAACCCTGTTCCTGCCCCTTCAAGGATAAGGCAGCAGGTTTGACCCAGGGAGTGGCTGCCTACAGGATGCTTGGTCTAAGGAGTGGTCACTGCAAGTCCTGCCTAAAACATCAGAATGTTTAACTCCGGATATAGTTGCTTGGTATTTCAAGTATTGAAGCAAGGAACTGTTCTGTTTGTCCTTTGTGTCATGTTAAAGCCGTCTTTGGCCTTCTTCCCCCTTTTTGGATTGGGATATGGAAGCATATGGAAAATAAATGTGGACATACTCAATATTCAGTATTCACTGGATTGCCCTCCCAGTTCTAGGTTCTAGCCTACATCTTTGTTTTTCCTTATCTCTGTTCCTCCTATCTGTTTTTTCTAATCCACATGCCCCCTACCCTGGAATGTGCGAACCCCACTGAGGTTGGACCCCCTACAAGGTCTCACCTTGTATCCCTGACAGGCAAGTAATCACTACATGACTTGAGCTCATGTAGTGAAGAAGAGGTCGGTGCCTCAGCCTTCTGAGTGCTTCCAGAATTACAGCCAGAGGCACGGTGCTATAACTGCTTCTCTCTCTCTCTCTCTCTCTCTCTCTCTCTCTCTCATCTATAGATAGATAGATATAGATATAGATATAGATATAGATATAGATATATAAATGTGTTTTGTTTTCTGAGACAGGGTTTTTCCTCTGTAACAGTCCTGCTTCCCTGGAACTCACTCTGCACTCCGTAGGCTGGCCTCAAACTCACAGAAATCCGCCTGCCTCCGCCTCCTGAGTGCTAGGATTAAAGGCGTGGGCCACAACGCCCAGCTGTGGCTGCTTCTCCTTAGCATATTAAATATCAAATTCCGGCAGCAGGTCTAACGTTCAGCACAGTCTGGGAGGAGCAACAAGCATGGCCAGTATTTAGGGGACACATCACAGTTCTAAGGAGATGCTGCTCTGTAGGTATTTTTAAGTCTCAGTCACTTGTTCGTTCGCCTCTACTTGTAATAGGTGATTCCTAATCTCAGTTTGGCAAGCTGAGCGAGATGCTGCACAGCTCTGACCCCCACACTCTGGAGGGAGAGGAAGGCAGATCTCTGTGAGCTGGAGGCCAGCCTGGCCATCATATCATCTTCCAGGACAGCAAGGAAGAGCTACAGTGAGGCCTGTTTGGGTGAAGGCTTCACTCCAGCCCCTGGCATCCATATAGCCAAAGGTTTGGATAGAAGCTCCACCCAAACCGCTCCCCTGGAGACGCCTCAGTCCAGACTCCACCCCTGAGAAAGCCACCAAAAGATGATCCCTCCTCAAAGATGCTAAAGACCAGTCCCACGGGGTATTTAAACTGCCTTCCAGAGAACAAACATGTGGTTTTCCAGTCTTCCTTACCCATCTCCTCTCTCTGTGGGGCTGGAAAACTATCCATTAAACCTGGGCTTTTTCTAATTTGGTTTGATTTGGTCTGATTTGCGTCGTCACATTGGCAGAGAGCCTTATCGGGGTGCAGAAACTTTTCAAGGCCCCCTTCCAAAACTATAAAACGTAAAATAAATTTCAATTTTGGGTTACATGTCCCACTTTTACAAATAAGGAAAGTGTGACTCAGAGAATCCAGACTGCTAGCTTGCCCATACTACAAAGTAAGGAGTTCACATCCACTGAGCTCTGGCTCAGGACAGAATAACAGCAAACTTGGCTGTACGGCACTCTACAAACCCAAATGGCCAAGAAAGTACTCCAAGATGCAAGGGACCTGCCTGACTCCGTTTTTAAAAGTAAGTTTCTATTTACCGTGATTTGAATAGCTCTGTTTCCTGGAACCTGACCTTCCCTACCCCATGACCCTCCTTGACTCTGCATGACCCTTCCTAATCACGTGGTGCATGATCACCTGATGGTTTTTCAAGATTTTTATTTTGTATTTCCTTATTGGCCCATTGTCTCCCTGCTGTAAATCTACTTGTAAAATCAGCTTGTTTCAGTTGCAGTTCAGATTGTGGTAGTGACCTTATTCTTACCGCTGGGGTTAACAATGTCCTGGGTTCAGCCCTAGACTGTGTTCACAGGTTAAAGGTCTGGGCACAGCCTGGAAACAGAACACAGCCTGTGGTCCTGGTCCTGACTGGATTAACACGTCAATGATTGCTGAGACTGTGGCCAAGTTCCTGGAACCATCACTAGAATTTAGAGTCCAGGACCCTGGGGGTTGTGGGAGAAGATTAACTCACTCAAGGAGGAACTTCCTGGCTGTCCACACAGAGAAACCTGCAGGGGCCTCACCAAGACTGCCATCACCCCCATTACCTGCAGGGGCACCCACCTCACCCACTTCCCATCCCCCAACAGCCTCACACACACTAATTTGTTAGTCTTCCTACGTTCCTTGTAACCTTTGGGCATGAAGAGTCTTTATCTGCAGGGCTGTGGCTGCTGAGAATCCGAGTCCTGGAAGTCAGGTGCATTTCTCGTGATTGCTGGAACAATTCACCTCAGACTCATGTTGATTTTCTCGAAACTGGGTGTCAGAAGCCTCAAATGGGTGAGCAGCATTCTGATTCTTCTGAAAGCTGAGGGGAGCAGACCCTTCCTCACCCCTTAGCTTCTGAAGTTTCACAGAAGCTTCTGGAAGGCTCCTGTGCACATTCTCTTTCTTCAAAACTAATGTCAGCTGACCTCCTCCCTCGCTGGTTCCTGTCCCTCCTCACGCCTTCTGCTTACAGCTCCTGACTCACCTGAACAATACAGATTGACTTCTTTGTTGTGTCAGGATCTCAGGCTTGTAACTGCATCTGCCAAGCCCCTTTCCTGGCTAACAGAGGCCACAGGTCCAGGGATTAGCATGAAGCCTATTAAACCTCTCTATCTATGCAACAATACAAATCAGACCAAATCAAACCAAATCAGAAAAAGTCCAGGTTTAATGGATCAAGGCTCCTGGATGGCTTTCCAGCCCCCAGAGAGGAGACAGGGAAGGAAGTCTGGAAAACCACGTGCCTGTTTTCTGGGGCACAGCTTAAATACCCTGTGTGAGTGGCCTTGAGCATCTCTAGGGGTTGGGTCATCATTTGGCTGGCTTCCTGAGATGCATCAGGGTTTGGAGAGAGATGGGGGGTGGGGGATTGGGGTGAAGCTTCCACCCGAACATCCCAGACTCCTTGGATGTATGGACACCACGGGCTGGGGTGTGGCTTCCGCCCAAACACAAGCAGTAAGCTTATTTTCACTAGAGCTTCCTCTCCTCAGAAGACAGAATTCTTGGGGAATTTAGGAGCGGAGGGCTGATTTTGGCTTACAGATGGAGGTTACAGTCATTGCAGGGACCATATGGGGTGGTGGTTGCCTATGCAGTCAGGAAGTGGGAGGGGATGTAGTGTTCAGGTCACTTTCCCTTTCTCTGCAGGCTGCGACCAGCCCGTGGAGTGGCACCACCCACACTTAGAGTGGGCTTTACCCAGCCTAGAAAACCCCCTCACAGACGTGTCTAGAGACTTGTCTCCTGGTTCGCTCCAGATGCGGCCAGGTTGACAACCCACCACAGGTGGTTAAGACCCTTGAGCCTGGCCTGAGCCCAAGGCGTTATAGTATCCCCCCTTTGACGCCAAGGAAATATTTCAGCTCTGGTCCCAAAAAATTGGGAACAGGAATGTTTTCCCAAGAAATAGTGAAGTTCTCAGATCCTGGGATTGGCCTGCATTGTTTTCATTAAAGAAATCCTCCACTCTGAACAATCTTTATTTAAGCCTTTCTTTGGCTGGAGGTGATATGCCAAGACCAGGAGTTGTAAGACCAGTTTGAATACTTCTTAAGTTTCGCATGAATGGTCTTGCATCTTTCTAAAGAGTGTGTGTATGTGTGTGTCTGTCTGTGTGCACGTGCGTGTGTGAATATGTGTGTGTCTATGTGTGTGTCTGTATGTATGTCTGTGTGTTGTGTGTACATGCATGCGTGTGTGTATGTGTGTGTTTGTGAGTGTCT